GTAACAAGAGCAAAACTCCGTCTCAAAAAAAAAAAAAAAAAAAGAAAAGAAAAAGAAATGGGCAGTATTATTCCTACTTTACAGTTGAAGAAACTGAAGCACACCCAAGGCTCTTAGAAATGGTGAGACTTGCTGAGCTAGGACATGGTACAGTGGATATTTGAACACGGAGCTCATTCTGTTAGCCCCTGTGCTATTTATAGTGAGGCTCTCAGTCTCCTTGGCCTTAGCACCAGCTTTGTCATGAAGGCTGGTGCCTCGTGGGCAGGATCTTGCATAGGCCCCCATATCGAGAGGGTACATGGAGAGAGGGCAGGTGGCTGCTCTTGCTTCTCTTTGGATTTAAACGTTCAGGCTGAGCAACGCTGCAGCCTAATGGGACATTTTGCGTTGCTCTGGATGCGTGACGCTTGTGCAGCTTCCCTGCCTGGCCAGAAGCCCTCTCCACAGAGTTGTTTCCTCTTTGTGGCATTTTGTCCCTATGGAGAGGGCTTCCTAGAAACTGCAGTGGGCAAAGCTGTGCATATCCAGAGGGCTGAACACCGCTGACTTCTCCCTGGCTCTGAATCTGGCTCTACGTACAGCACCTGCTGTAGTCTTGCTTGGTCCTGACTCCTGGGGTGGGAGTACATGGGGTATATATGGGCTGACTCACTGTCTTTGGCTAGGAGAACCGGGGGCTGACCTACGGCTTCCAGACCCCTGGGGGCTGATTCAGCACTAGCCAGGCCTTTTGGAAGAGATGCAAGGGCATCGTCAGTCCCTGGGGGTCCAGCCACCGTCCCAGGAAACCTTTAGTCTAACATAGCTCAGTTCATTCTTCAGGAAGGAAGCCTCCTTCATGGCAGTAAGGCTGTGGGGGCTGTGGGCGTTATCTCTGGCCAGTTGGGAAGACAGGCAAGGGCAGCTAATGAGAAGAAACAGGGCGTGGGTCTTTGCTATTTCTACTTTAAATAAAGCTGCTCCAAGAGAAACCTAAAATATCACTGACCTGTGGGTTTGAAAGAAACAGATGGGACAAAACTCTTCCAAACTCCCTACCCCACCCCTGTGCTACGGCTCTCACTTCACACCTTTAAGACCCGCCTTTTCCCAGCAAGAAGAAATGTCTTTGAACATCTCTGAGGTTTCTGTGGTTCCCTCTTTCTGAGAGATAATTTGTTGTTGACACTTTTATTTTCTGGCTTCCTTGTGGGCTGTAGAGAAACATCAAAGGGTGGAAAATGCCATTTTCCCTGGTAAAGTAGGGCCCCACATTGTGCGGGAGGAAATAAACCAGACTCAGATGAATGGAGTGAATACAAGCATTTGAGAGACAGCACTATTATGTAGATTTGATTTTCTTTGGGGAGGCTCTTCACATTTTTCAGTCGGTAAGGGAGCTAAAGATGTTACAGCTGAAACTCAAAGCAGGTCTGTTTCACATTCCTCTCAGGCAGGCCTCAGAGCCACACAATTTCACTTTCAATTACTTACCGCACTTCATTGATCTCTGACTTACTTTGCAGCCATTGGTAGTCTTCCTATTAGACCCAGTTCCTTGGGGACAGAGCCCCTGTCTTCCACTTTTGTTCCCCACATAGAGCCAGACCCAGGCAGACACATGCTGTTGCTCAATACTTGGTCAAACGCCTTTTCCTCACTGTTGAGTCAAGATGATTGAATAAATCCCAGGCAATGGTTCTTTTTATAATGAGATGCTTGGCGGCGAATCCATATTACCAGGAGAGGAAGGATCATTTCAGAACAGGATTTGTGCACAGAGACGTTCACTAGAGTGTTGTTTATAATAGCAAAAAAAGTGGAGACAACTTCCCTCAATAGGGAAAGTTGGGTAAGTTATGGTACCTACATACAGACAATGAGAGAGTAAGCAGCTATTTTAAGACGGGGTCTTACTCTTTCACCCGGGCTGGAGAGCAGTGGAGTGATCATGGCTCATTGCAGCCTCTGCATCCCAGGCTCAAGCAATCCTTCCGCCCCAGCCTCCCGAGTACCTGGGACTACAGGCGCACACCACTGTGCCTGGCTAATTTATGTATTTTTTTTGTAGAGACGAGGTTTGCCATGTTGCCCAGACTTGTCTCAAACTCCTGAGCTCAAGCGATCTTCCTGCCTTGGCCTCCCAAAGTGCTGGGATTACAGGCGTGAGCTACTGTATTTGGCCAGTAAGCAGCTATTTTAAAGAATAAGGTAGAGCCAAATGTTCAAAAAAAGATAACCAAGAAGAGTTAGTTGGTATGATGCCATTTATGCAAAAAAGGACTAAAAAGATGCTTACACACATACACAGAAAAATTTTGAAAGGATACACAAAAAACTTCGTATTGGTTATCTCTGGGCAGTAGATTAAGAAGTCAGAAATGGGACCTTTAGTCTGTTACTTAACTTTCCAGTTAGTACTTGAATTTTAAAGTTATGACTGTATTACTGTTTTTATTTTATTGTTTTAAATAACAAACTAGTTAAGCAAGCTATTTTTGGATGGCAATGAGAAAAGTTAATTCTAAGAAATGCCCCTCCCAGGGGCAGGGGTGGGGCAAGGCGGAATGGGGTGGAGAGGGAGGACCCAGCTGAAGGCACACATTGCCCTTCCCTTCACTCTGTGGCTTCTTGGCTCCCTCTGCTTTCGGTCACTGGCCAAACCAAACAGACTTCCAGCTTTGTCCCATGACGTGGAGACGAGATGGACCATGAGAATGTTCTGAATCACAGCCTCGGAGTGAGTTAGGACTTTCTGGACATTCACCAACCACTGTCAGCTGCCACCAACCCTGCTCTGGAAGCTGGCCACGTACCCCACAGCACCGGACGAGGATGGCGCTGATCACAAAGATATGGACTCCGTCGTTTGGGGATGAATCAAGTTACTGTCTTACTCAAAACCCACCAATGGCTCACCTCTGCTTGTTGTATGAAGTCCAAATTTACCTTGTGTTAGCATTCAAGGCTGTCCATGTTCAGCCCCGCTCTTATCTTTTCAACCTCATCTGCCAAGACTTCTCAGTATATGCCAACACCAGGACTGCCTGGGTTGGAATCTGGGCTGTGCTACTTACCACGCTGACCGCAGACAAGTCACCTGCTCCTTCAGTGCCTGTTTCCTTATCTGGAAAGTAGGGAGGATAAGAACAGCACCTGTATCCTAGGACTGACATGGAATTGTGCACATTAACAAATGTGTGTGCGGAATGGTGCCTGGCATACAGTAGGTGCTGTCTCACCTGCCTCTATTAGGCCTTCCCACCCTCACTCCATGGTTCTGGCCGGAATCCCTTTCCTGGCCATAGTCCTGGTTATTTTTCAGAGGCTCTATCAGGGAGCGCTGCACCATGAGGCCTTCCCTAATCACCCCAGGTGTCCAGTGGTTCTTGGACATCCGAAATCACATGGGGAAGTTGGTGAAGTGCAGATTCCTGTACTAACTTTTCGGGATCCCACTGAAGTCTGCGACACGGCCCAGGAAGCTGCACCCAGGTGATACCCATAGGTGTAGTGTGGGGTGACACTCGGAGGAATAGGTCAGTACTTGGAAGGTCACCTTCTGCTGTTCTCTTCTAGGGAACAGGCTTGGTCCTATTCATTTTCCTATCTTCTGCAATGTCTTATGCACATTAGTCTCCTGATAAATGCTTGTGGACAATTAATGACCTGCTAAGAAGTGCTCACCATCTAGGGCGTCCCACCCTCTCTCTGATGCTGATGGTGCTAGTGTGAATGTGGGTGCCCTCATGAGAAGCTTGTGGTGCAGCTTAGACCATGCCACTTAGACCACAGATTCCCAGCAGGCTCACTGGCTTTTCCCAGGTCTATCTATCTTCCAATAGGTCTGTAGGGAAAGTAGTCCACTTGGATTTTCTTTAACTTTCCATTAGGAAAGAAAGTGAGATGGCTTCCTCAACTAGGGGTGCCATCAGTCACTTGGGAGAAATCCTTAAAAATCAAGCCTAATCCAACCACTCGATTGGTTTCTGAGTACCATGTAGGTTCAAGGCGGGGTCTGGGTAATGGACCAGGTTCTCCAGGTGATTCGGATGACACCCTTGTTGAGGAACCAGAGAACCATCCCAGGTTCTCAATGGGGGCCGTGCTTCAGCAAGGCATGCAGAGGAGCTGGAGCTTCCGAGGACGTAAGGCCTTTCCCCAACCTAACCAACCTCTTGGCCTTGGGGCCAGCCCTATTCATTTCAACCTTGTTATTGTGCAAAGCAAGTGAGCAGATGCTGGGGAGAGTCAAGCATCCTTGGGAAGGAAAAGAGACTCTGGAGAAAGAGGGCGGGGTCATCCTTAGTGGAAAGGCCAAAGGGCCCTAAGAGGACTCAAAATCCTCCATTTAAAATACAATTTCCACGCCAGGCGCGGTGGCTCACGCCTGTAATCCCAGCACTTTGGGAGGCCGAGGGGGGTGGATCACGAGGTCAAGAGATCAAGACCATCCTGGTCAACATGGTGAAACCCCGTCTATACTAAAAAAAAATACAAAAAATCAGCTGGGCATGGTGGCGCACGCCTGTAATCCCAGCTACTCAGGAGGCTGAGGCAGGAGAATTGCCTGAACCCAGGAAGCGGAGGTTGCGGTGAGCCGAGATCGCGCCATTGCACTCCAGCCTGGGCAACAAGAGCGAAACTCCGTCTCAAAAAAAAAAAAAAAAAAAAAAAAATACAATTTCCTTAAAAACCAAAAGCTTCCTGTTACTTGCAGCTCCTATATTTCTTAGCATACATCAGCTCTGCGAAATAAGGTCTTAGGCTGGAATCCACCCTACGGCCAGCTTTCAAAAGCCCTTTCTGGAACTCTGCAGGCAGCATACAAGTTGCCTCAAAGACAGGCTAGAAAGGTTCTGTTTTGTTATTTTTTTAAAGTTTCCTGAAAGTCTAAGAATAAAAAGGGAGTGAAAGCTTCTGCTCTGTCAATAGGAAATCCACCCCCCTGTCCCCAGCTCTGCCCCGGGAGCCTCACAGATTTCCTAAAGTTAAAAACAAACACTGTGACCACTTCGACTCCTTGCAAGATTTAATTCTTCCTTTAATATAAATAAGGCAGCATGAAATACCAAGAGTCCCACTGCTTTCTGCTTTAGTAGCAGCTTTGCTACAGAAAAGATTCCCGTTTCCCCACCGAGGTCTGTTGTCTCTGTATAAACAAGAAGCCAGAAGGTATTTTTTCTGTGAACTTTCTCCTGGAAGCAAAGGAGAAGCTGTGGGAGATCCAGGCATGGTTTTGGCTTCTGGAGGCCGTTTTCCGGTTATTGGGGTCTCTTCAAAGCAAAACGGGATCAGGATGAAGAAGGGGAAAGGCATGGGCCATAAATAAATAAGGAAATTTGCCCCGATTCTGCAGATACATCTGATGGAATGAGGAAGGTCGGGCTGTGAGGGGTTGGGGGTAGTCTGGGCTGCTGTTAGGGACACACTTGAGCTGGTTCCTTTCCTGGTGTGCCCCGCAGCTGGGTCTAGGGAGAGGCAGGCCCAAGTGCTTGTTCAGTCTAACTCCAGCTCACACTGGAAGGCTTCCTATAGGTTTGGTTTTCCCTGATCACAGCTGAGCTGCTCCACCAGGAATTCACCCTAGTGGGCAAAGGGTCCCTCTTCTCGAGCTTTCTGAGGTTGGTTGAGAGCACTCCTGGGGAGTGGGGAAGGATCGTCTTCCTTCAGTTTATGGGGAAACTGGGCACCCCTGTCAAGTTGGTTATGCTCTCTGGAAGGCATGGCCGGCATAAACCCTGGAGGGAGAGCACAGGTACATTCTCAACTCCCTGGCCCTCTGCAAGGGTAACTGAAGTGATGGTGATAGGAAATCTCAAAGGGCCAGTGAAGCCACAGGTGGAGAAGAGGCTTCCTGATCTGCCTGAACCACAGACCTGGAGATGAAGCCCAGCTCCAACCACAGAGACTCTGCCCGGCTCTTTGGGTCTGGGTCCTCTGTGTGGTCAGGCATGCCCACACAGGAGGGGTGGGTTCTTTGCAGTGAGGGAGCCCCGCTGGAGTGAGGAACTAGGGGCTCAGAGGCTGCAGACTGGAGCTGGGTTTCCACAGTAGCTCTTGCTTCCACACACCCTGCCCTAGGATTGGGACCCTGAGGACAACCCAGGGTTATGACATCCTGGCTCCCGATCTCTGCAACTTTCTCTGAACTGGGCCAGGCTGCAAGCCAGACCCCACCACACGAGTAGCATTCTTGAGCACCTCACAGAAGGAGTCCACTGTCTTACAGTAGAGACTTCACTGCAGGACGCAGGGCCAGAAGACATAGAGAGGTTTGACCCTGCACACACCCTCTGGGAGTGCCATGACCTCAGGCACCTTGCGGATGCCAATGAAGAAGTGACAGAGCTTCTTTTCCAGCTGTCCTTTGCCCCAGTCACCCTGTGTGTCTCCTTCTCCAGGTGAGCTTCCACCTTCAGCATCTGTCTTCCCCCTACCACACTGATAGTCAGAGAGACCTGCTTTGGAGAAAATCAAGAGAGATGTGGGGCCGCTGAGCTGACACCCAGCATGGCAAATGACACCCACCACGCTCAGGACCCAGTATGTTGGGGAAGGGACAGCAGAAGGGGGTGCACCTGAGAGAGCAGTGTAGCTGAAAAAGTGGCCGTGTTTCTCTATGCCACCAAGTACCCATTTCCATGTGACAGAGATGTTAGTCACTTGGGACCCGAATCTACACAAGGTCTTTTCTCCAAATAATATAAAAAAGTGGCAGCCATGGTGGGACTGCTGTCATGCAGGTTGTGGAGTAAAGATGGACATTCCCACATCTGTCCCTGTTAGTGCTCTGGCTGCAGACGGTCAGGCCAAGGGCTGGGAATACCGGTGCTGGGTCTTAACACAGTTCCCCGTCAGCCTTCTCATGGATCCTCTGCTGATACTCAAGTACAGACTGGATCTGGGATGCAAAAAGAATTAACACCCAATCCAACATTTGCACTGTTTCCAACTCAGGGTCCACTGCATGTTCTGCCACCATCTTGGCCATTCATGATGATCCAGAAGTAAACTGCAGGGGATCAGTCCCTAAACCCAAATGACAGCTTTACCAACAGATCCCAATGGTACCAGCTTCCTGTTGAAATTCTGTTTCCTCTGCACTGTAGGGCCTGGCTTCCTGGCAGGCTGAGCACGGCTCCCACGAAAGCCCGCCTTGTCCCCAGGACAGCGCTGGCAGATGTCACCAGGAGTGTGACTGTGAGGAATGCCCTCATCCTAGCTTCCAGAGTCCCACATGCTCTACAGGACGTTGGCTTTTTGGGGCAGGCTGGCATGGTCCGAGGGGACATGTAGGGAATACTCACTAATGAGTGCGGGGGCATTCTTGAGCATCTCATAGAAGGAGTCCAGTGTCTTACGGTAGAGACTTCGCTGCAGGACAAAGGGCCGGAAGAGGTTGAGGGGCTCCGCCTTGAGCACCGCCTGCGGGAGGCCCATAGCGTCGGGCACCTTTCGGTTGCCAATGAAAAAGTGGTGGAGCTTCTTCTCCAGCAAGCTCTTCTCCAGGAAGCAGAGCAACTCATGCAGTCGAGCGTCCAGCTGCCCCGCCTTCCAGTCCGCCGCCCGCCGGCGGAGCAGGAGGTGCAGCAGGGCGGTCTTCAGGTGGTAGCTGCTGAGCCCGCTGGGGCCGGTCAGGCGGCTCTGCTTGGAGAGTAGGAAGGAGGCGATCTGCAGGCAGCTGAGGTGGCAGGCGCCTTCGGGCAGCGCCTTCAGTGTTGTCCTGAGGAAGCGGCGCTCGTAGACAGCAAAGGACAGGAGCCAGTCTGTGCTGGAGGCCAGGGTGCCCTCGGATGGCTCCCTGGGAAGGTGGGAGACGAAGTACAGGTCCGAGTCATCACACTGGATCACAGGAATCAGGTTGAAGGGCATGAACTTCCCTGAGCGGAACCTGATCTTCAGGGAGCCCGGGCTGTCCAGCTGGCCAAAGGCCAGGTCAAACTCGTACTTGTGGGCAATGCCGTGCCAGGCTCTGGTGAGGGCCGTCTGGAACCACTTCATGACCTGCATCGTGTCCAGGTACATGGAATCCGCGGCACACAGCAGGTTCTCCATGTCGCCGCAGGGGGGCACCGTGCTGTTCCTGCCGTGCAGGAGACACAGCATATCTTCCCCGAGCTTGGTCTTGCCGCAGATGCAGCTCAGGGTGTCCCCGTCGGCACGGACCACCTTGATCTGGCCGTAGCCCTGGCGATCCAGGGGCACTGAACGGCTGGAGCACCAGAGCTCTGGGTGGAAGCGGTAGGGCTCGGGGGGTGTGAAGGGCACAAAAAGGTGGCACAGAAGCGGCCTGTCCACCTGCCAGTTCTCGTACATGCTGTCCACGCCAATGAAGTCCTCCACCTCCATGTCGGTGTCACGATTGCAGAGGCTCCTCAGGGCTTCCAGCAAGTCATCCACGAAGCCTTCCAGGAACTCCCGGGTACGGGCAGCGTCGGCTGTGGCCCCCCGGATGCAGTGCTCATAAAAGTGGCCAAGCGTGGCCTTGTTGGGCAGGGTGAGGCCCTGCAAGGGGGCACCCCCCAGCCCAGGCAGCTCATCCTCCTCACCGCCCAGGCACTCAGGGGAGGGCCCCTCCTGGTGGTCCTGCCGCCACACCTCGATCATCAGGAAGAGGATCATGCAGAGGGTGCTCCAGAGGTCCCAGGCCGCGCGTGTCTCATTCTGCTGCCTGCCCTCCTCTGCCACCTGCTTCAGCGCCTCCTTCTCAGCTGCCAGCCGCGCCACTTCCTCCTCCAGGCGCAGCTGCTCCAGCTGCAGCTTCTCCTGGTGTGCCTGCATCTTGCGGATGATCTCCTCCTCATTCTCGGGCACCGTGGCGTTCTCCCGAGGGAATAGCAGCGGGTGGTTGATGATGGCCGTCACCACCACCAGACACACGCGGAAGAGCCCCATGGCCATGGTCTGAGCTTTCCTGGGAACAGAGAGAGACTGATGGTCACATCAAGCTTCCCTCAATGCCACCTCAGCCCCGGACCCCGCACCAACCTCAGCCCCTCGGGGCTGGTGAAGGTCTTAGTTCTCCCACTCAACCCATCGAGGCTCACTGCAGCTGCCTCAGGAGCTTCAGTCTAGCCACAGAAGAGCCCCAAAGGTCTACCCTGGGGTGGGCATCTGTTTCTGTCCTACCCAGACATTTCTGCATGGCAGCAGCACCCCACTGTCCCTGGGAACCAACACTTTTCTCCTACCAGTCCTTATGGCCAGGGCAAGGATACACCCACCTCCAAGCTCCTGGGTGGGCTCAAAACCCAGGCCCAAGACAATCAGACATTCTGCCCCCCAGCTACAGCCACAGCAATTGGTTCTGGGATGAGCATTTGATCCAATTTGGGCCAATGAGAGACAGATGTAGGGTGTGTTGGGCCCAATGGGGAGAAAAACTTATCTTGATGCTAGCTTGGTTACTAGGTTGCCGAGGGAACAGGATTACACCTGCAGTGGGCTCTCAGGAAGGGAGCCCACCTGAGAAAGGCACCAACACAGAGGAAAACAGAAACCCCCTCCCCGTACTCAGCTCTGCTTGAAGGGATTGCTGTCTTCAAGCAGACAGGTAGGTGAGCTCTTTTGTCATACAAGTCAATAAAAAAACTCCTTTTAAGTCAGTTTGAGTGGCCTTTCCACCACTTGAAATCAAAATAGTCCTGAATAAAACATCCCCTTCTCTCCCAAGTGAATGCCATCTTCCTGCGATATAGTAAAGCCTAGTGGTTAAGGGAGAAAGGGCTACGTTCCAAGCCAGCACTGTCATAGCTGTGTGACCCTGGGCAAGTTAACACACCTCTCTGAGCCCTGGCTTCCTTGCTGCACAAGAGGAAAGCAATAGAACCCCACAGGGTCATGGTATTGATAGATGCAATGATCCCTGCAAACTGCACGGCCCAGTGACCAGGGCACAGCACATATTCACCAAACAGTAACTGTTTCTGAAGTAGATCTGAGCCCTTATGCTCCTCTTCTGTAAACGTCTCCTTCCGATCTGGCAGACCTTACCTCAAATTCAGACACACTCTCCTGGCTTTTGTCTTTCCCCAGGACAATCTTGGAGATGACCAGAAAGCAAAGAGTCACTGCCTTCTTGCCATGAGGCATCTGAACTTTAAATCTGACTTCTTAATTGTGAAGGGAGGCACTCTGTTCCCCTAGGATAAGTGGATTTTTAAGCTTCAGGTGAGTTTTGGGGAAAGGCTAATCCCTACAATCTTTGCAATTCAAAGCCTGATCCAAGGACCAGCAACCGCGGTATCTCCTGGGAGCTTGTTAGAAATGCAGAATCTCGGCCCCACTCACACTTTCTGAATCGGAATCCACATTTTAATACCATCCACATAAAAATCTGAGAAGCACTGTCTTACGCCAACTGCAAGCCTTACTTACCTCCTCTCTTCTCAGCAGGAACCCTCGGGCTTAACAATCTGCTATTTGCACGCTGCGGCTACCCCCTCTCTGCTTGGGACCGTGGTGATGGGAGCAAATGGCCAAATGCAAATCAGCTGAGGTCCTGAGATAGTTGAGAGCACAGGGCTCCTTCCACCCCCTGGTGCGCGCCGATACTGACTGATAGGAACTGCTGTGCCGGCCTGAGCCCCATTCCCTTTGGCTTGAGCCCCTGACCTGGAATTTGCACAATGAAATTCTTGTCCTAATGGTGCCTAGGAACCGGGGTTTGTCCCCAGGTAAAGATATCTCTGCAGGTAGTCCCTGGCAAGACGCAGGATGGAGATGGCTGAGTTGGCTGCTGGTCTCGCCTAGACAAAGCTTGCTGCTCAGATGTGACTCAGACAGTTCCACCCCATACACAGCTGAACAGGTCTGCGGGACACAAAAGGGTTGAGGAGTGGAGAAGGTCCGTCCTTCACCCTGCGGATTCTCAGTGTGGGCCTCAGAGATGAGCTCTGAAGCGTTTCCACGGGAGGAAAGCTCCCAGGAGAAAGTGGAAGCCGCACTGCAAGGTGGGTGGGGTAAGGGAAAAGTGCAGGGGGCAGCAAGCCAGCTTTCCTTCCCCAAGCCAGGGAGCAGCTTGCTGGATAATGGCAGAAACAGGTCAGCCTGGTTTCTACATTAGAGAAACATCAATGGAAAGTTTTGCCGGGGAGGGTCCGACGCATAACTAACTGTGAGGCTGGGTGATTAACATGGGAGAGAGTGTTAACATAAATTTGTAGAGTACTCAGCAGAATATTAGGCAGCAGCCGGTTAGGAGATATTTTGGGGGTTCTGAGGTCCTTCGAGGTGCCTGGAGCACAGGCAGCCGCCTTTGGACACAATGGGCCTTGACCAGTCACAGTAATAGCCTGGACAACCACCTACCTAGGTTCCGTGTCAACTCAGTGTGGGATGCCACAAAGAGGGGAGTGGGGCCGTGGCCAAGCCCTGTGGCTGGGAACCCTCCCTGTGTCTACGCCACACTTCACGATGCTACTTGCTACATCTTCATTCCTGCCAGAGGAAGAGCTATGAGAGCTACTGATGCAGGCAAGGTTCAGAACTCCAAACCTACCAAAGGGACCAACTCTGTGTGCAAGGAGAGAAGAGGACAGATTCGAGAGGAGACACTGGGTCAGAACCCAGCATGTGCACCTACTGGAGGTGACTCCGGACAAGTCACTCTGCTTCTCAAAACCTCAGTTTCTTAGTCTGTAAAACGAGAATAATCATATCTGCTGTTGTAAAGCTTGAATAAGATAATGCATTTAAAGCACTCAGCAACATGCTTGCCTCTGAGCATGTTTTCTTAGAAAAGAAACTGTGATGGGATGGAAATCCGCAGATGACCCTGCCTGCAGGAGTTCAGGATGGAGCGTGCGCAGACGCCCCTATAAGGAACTCTGGCAGGATGCGGGCAGCGCATAGTAGCACTGGCAATTGTAGGGTTACAGACAAGACTCAGCAGAAGCACCAGGGAAACAGGGCACCTGCGCGGGAAGAACTGCAAGGAAAGGGGGCCTGGGCTGTAGACCCAGCAGACCTGGGCTCCAACCTTGAGTGACTGTGTGGGTGGATGGCGCAGCTTCTGCGCTCCCACACTTTCCCTGTGCGAAGGCGTTAATAACATGCCCTCCTTCACAGGGATGTTGGGAAGGGCAGGTGAGATCATATACCTTGGGTGCTTAGCACTGAGCAGGTTCCTCCTCCTCAGCATCCTGGGGATTCTGCTTTCTCACTTGCCCAGCACAGCAGCCCTGCCCAAGCCCCAGGCACGAGGAGTAAACACACGCTGGAAAGTGCTCTGAAAGCACAAGACGTTCCGCTGCTATTGCTCTTCCTTGGCACATCCCAGAGTCCGCCCTGGCCCCCAGCAAAGGGGAGAAGCCTTTGGAGCCTCGGATCCTCCTGTTGGTCAGGGGTTCCTCTGACTCACTTTCACATGTAAACCATCTTCCCACTTCCCAGCTTACTGCTTCCCCGATCGGATCCCAGCTGTCATTTGGCTCCTTGTTAAACCCTGCACAGGCTGGCTCAGTCTGCAGCATCCTACGGGATAGGACAGGGATGGACAGGCCCAGGCAGAGAATAGGGCTGTGGCTGCTCAGGGTGCCCACTAGATGGAGCTCAGTTTGAAGCTTTTGCTACTTCCCCTTCCCAAACCAAGTCATAGGGGACACGGCCCTGGGGGCCCCAGGGGCCAGAAGAATCTCCTGTAGGCCAAGGGGATTCCAAAATAAACCTTACAAACTAGTTCAGGTCAAGACCGGAAGGAGGGGGTTGACAAACCCCATTATATCCTCCTTCCTTTGGAATTCAGGCACAACTGACCAACATTAACATGAAAACAGAGATCTTAAGAGTGACAAAACACATTCTCTAGCAATAAGATCCCCGAATTCCAATCCACTATAGCATCACACGACAGATAGAAAGCCCTGAAAGACATCAAAGTATTTCACCCCTTTGACATATTTTGAAATGGGCCTGAAAAGCTGTTTCTTGTCAGGAAAATCTACATTATGTACAGAATTTCCTTTCCTTTCCAGGTCTCTTCCTGGATTAACCAAGAGTCTGGCACCTTTATAGATCTAACAGACATTTACCATCTTCTCTCTCTGAAGCCCACTTCCTGGAACTTCATCTACATAGTAAGAACCGTGGTCTCCATAACCCCTTATCCCAGACGCTCCTTTCTACTGATTCCAGGTCTTTAGATAATAACGTAACTCTTTGAACCAATTGCCAGTCAGAAAAATCCTTGAATCCACCTATGACCAGGAAGCCACTCTTTGCCCTCACTTCAAGTTGTCCCACCTTTCCAGACCAAACTAACATATACCTTACACATGCACTGATGGACGTCTGCCTGTAACTTCTGTTTTTTTTTTTTTTTTAAGACTAAGTCTCGGCCGGGCGCGGTGGCTCAAGCCTGTAATCCCAGCACTTTGGGAGGCCGAGGCGGGTGGATCACGAGGTCAAGAGATCGAGACCATCCTGGTCAACATGGTGAAACCCCGTCTCTACTAAAAATACAAAAAATTAGCTGGGCATGGTGGCGCGTGCCTGTAATCCCAGCTACTCAGGAGGCTGAGGCAGGAGAATTGCCTGAACCCAGGAGGCTGAGGTTGTGGTGAGCCGAGATCGCACCATTGCACTCTAGCCTGGGTAACATGAGTGAAACTCCGTCTCAAAAAAAAAAAAAGACTAAGTCTCACTCTGTTGCCCAGGCTGGAGTGCAGTGGCGTGAGCTCGATCTCAGCTTACTGCAACCTCTGCCTCCCAGGTCCAAGCAATTCTCCTGCCTCAGCCTCCTGAGTAGCTGGGACGACAGGCATGCCCCACCATGCCCAGCTAATTGTTGTATTACCAGTAAAGACGGATTTTCCCCAAGTTGGCCAGGCTGGTCTCGAACTCCTGACCTCAAGTGACCTGCCTGCCTCGGCCTCCCAAAGAACTGGCATTACAGGCGTGAGCGCCTGGCCGGCC